TATATAATAGCATAATGTAATTATTGGTTATGTATTAATATTAATATTTCTTTTGAAGGCATCTCTCAGTACGCGGTACCCCGGGGTGAGCTCAGCCGGCCTTGGCGGGACCGTCGGAGCGTCTCCCGCCTGGACGCCGCGGTGATGGAGGCGCTGCCCGAGCTCTACGCCATCTTCCAGGGAGAGGTGTGCGGCGCTGCTGCCCGCGGCCCCGGCAGGCCTTACTGCCCTTTGTCCCTGCGTTTGTTGTCTCGGGCACTGCCTAGCGCGGTGGCGGTTTGGGTAACCCGCGGTGCTGTGCCACGTGTATACGCACGCTGATCTGTGCGACAGTTCTGCGCTGCGTGTACACGCGCCTCTCTGTGTGTTTCTGTGCGTTCACGTGCGTACGTGTGGATATATCTGCATATCTGTGTAAGATTCGTATCTGAACGAGGTAGGAGTGGTTGGCTGACCACACCTGCCCCAGAGTTACCAAGCATCGCAGTGCCTAACCTGCCTTGAAATCTAAAACCAAAGGAAAGCAGGAGAACCGTGCGGACTTTTTGTGCATGTTCTACCTTGCGGTTTGCAAGCAGGTGTTCTGTGAAGGGCTTTGCCGTAGGTCTTGTGTTGATTTTCTTCCCAGGTTGCTACAGTGACGGAATATGGAGCATTTATAAAAATTCCAGGCTGCAGGAAACAAGGTTTGTTTCTCTTATTTTATTCAGACGTAGTTTCATGCTGGTTTGTTCGAGCCAAGCAGTTGTTCTTGGAGTTAATGGCTTGCCAGCTTTTAGAAAAAGATCAGAAAAGGTTTGGGTTTTTTTTCTAAATTAGAAAGAAACTGAGGTTCTCAGTATTTAGAATATGATGGTATATTTGTATGAATACAAAAAATACTCAGAGGGTATTTTTAGTTTTTTAGTAACTTCAGGCTATTTTAGAGAATCGTTTTAAATTATTGGACAAACTGTAGAGACTTTCTACAATTGGATAGTTTGCCCAACTTACTTCTTTTGTGACAAATACAAACAAGTTAAATAAAAAAGACTAAAATGAAGCTCAAATAAAAAATAAACCAGAAAAATTGACTTAAAGTCACACAGAGTTGTTTCACAAAAGCAGCATCTCACAAACAGCCCCTTCTCCGCTCCCTCCTCAAGCGCCCGGTCACTGTAGCGCCCGTTCTAATAAAAGGTTTTGGACAGAAGCGTGGCGGCTGGAGGGAAGTCGCTTTGAGACCCTGAAATACGAGCTTGGTCAGCAAGGTGTGTTTCCATATTTATCCTCCCTTGTGTAACCCTGCGGCCCGCATGTCATTCGGGCAAATTAAAAATACGATTTTGGGGCTGTGTGACCTTGCGAGCACAGGGCAGCCTTGGTGATCTCTGGGTTTGGGGTTGGTTTTTTTTTTTTTGACTTTGCCAGCAAAGTATTGTGCTGCTGGTGCATGAAATGGGCTCTTTATTCTCCAGTGCTTGGAGTGGCCTCAGAGAACAGGCAGGAAACGGGAGGTGTTAGTGCCTGCTACAGTTTTCCATGTTTTGAGTACAAAGACGTTGCTTTGGGGGCGTGCTTCTCTGGATTCATTTGGAGCAGATCTTGTTTCATTGATGCAACTAGTCGACTCTCACCTGTGTAATGTACTGGAAGAAAAAATTGCTTAATTTTCCTTAGGGGAACCTCTGGATACGTGCCCTGTCCCCAGCAGCAGTGGTGTCCAAACGTTTTTGATTGTGCACCCCCAGTGCATGATCAGTTAAAATCACTTCACCTCATCAATTAAAAAAATTTTGAGCACACCCCCCCGATATATGTATATTTATTTATAAATTCCCTACATGTACTACTGCGCTAGTGTTACGTACATTATAAAACATACTCAGAAATTAAAAAGGATCAGGTAAAGATGAAATAAACATTATTAATTTTTTTTACATTTTCTTTATTAATGGTACAAGAATATTTTTTTCCCATACCCCAAAGCATTGTCCTGCATCCAGCACAGTTTGGAGACCACTGCCCCAGAGGACACAACTGTGAATCAACAAAGACTTTTCTTTATATTTTCCTCTTTCTTCTCTTCCAAAAACACCATCAGGCCTTGTCCATAGGACTCACATGTCCTCCTGCCGCGTGGATAAACCCTCAGAGATAGTAGACGTTGGAGACAAAGTGTGGGTGAAGCTTATTGGAAAAGAGGTAACGTTCATTCTTGTTTCTTTAGTGCTGTGTGGGTGAAATATATTGCAAAACCAGTGACCTGAGAACTTGTGAGCACAGAGGCTGTGTGTCCCTGTAGCTGTGTCGGGGCTCTGTTTTACAGACAGGTGAATTCTCGTTACCTCCATATGTGACTTCGGGCTCCGACCTTCTGCGACTCGCAACAGCGCAAGTCAGAAAAAGGGACTTCCGAAAAGCTTTTGGGTTAAACCCGACAAAACGCTTCCCTCTCTTCCCCTTGTATCAACTTAACCATGTGATTTGGTGGCTAAATGAGTAGTTCGAGACATTCCAAGAAACACAGTTCATTAGCTGTTTTGAGAGACAGACGCGTTCTTGGAAGAAGACGGGTTTTTTGTTTGTTTGTTTTCAGGAAAGTGTCGGTGGCAGTGAATTAGGCCCAAGAGAAAACACAGAGGCTTTTTCGTTTGTTTGTTTTGAAGTAAGAGCATTACACGTTCCCCCCGCCCTTGCTTTTTCTTCTGCAGAAGATGTGGCAATAGGTGTATCGTCTGTATTTAAAGATTACTTGGAACAAAAACTAAAGACTCTTGCTTTGCTGAGCCATGGAAACAAAACAAACTGACTGTATTTTGTTGGGATTGAGGTGGAGGCATTCAGTTCAGAGTTGCACAGGATTTGGCCATAAATACTTTGCTGCTTTTTTTTTTTTTTGAAAGAAGATAATCAGGTTGATGTACAAAACAAGGTCCCAATTTTGTGTGAGATAACAGAAATGGGTTGAGAAACTCAGTCTTATTTACATGGTATAGAAAATCTACGTGAAAGACTCTACAGATTCTTTTTAGCCATCTGCGGTGTGCTTTTTTTTAATTTAAAAAAATAATTTGTTTGTATAAATTTTTATTAAGCTGCTGTTTTCTTTATCCGGAACACAGTTGTTGGATTCCTGGTGTTTTTGTGGTAGAGGCAAGGGGCAGAAGCACGTAGGAGAGGTGAACAGCAGAAGAGTTTGTTGTTACGTTGCCTGCAAATAACTGCATAAATGTCATAAACAGACAAACCAGAAACACCTTCAATAGCAGCATTGGTGAAAATGCAGAAAGTTCTAAGAAAGGCTTGAAAAAAAACCCAAACGTACATTTATTCTTGCTTCTGAAGTCATAACGCGACAATCAAGGACTTACTAGGATTCAGAAAAGAGTAAGCTACTAATAGAGATACTTAAAATATTGTTAGTCTCATAAGAGGATGGAAATGAGAAAAGGGATATAAAGTTTTATTTTTCGGCCAAAGTACTAGTCCAGGGGGAGCTGCCTTGGGGTGGATGATCAAGGGTTACAGCAAGGCTTCCAGACATGCGCTTTCTTCTACAGCTCTTGGCTTTGGTCGTTTTGAAATCAGAACGTTAACCTGAACAGACCTACAGTTTGATCTTGTCTCGTTGCTGAGATAGCTGCTTCACAGCAGCTGTTTTATCAGCTAGAATACTCCAAACGCAACTACAAAATAATAGAACAGAAGCACTTTCATGTAGTATCCTCTGTGGTGCTGCTCTTTGCTATCCAACAATTCCCTTCCTTCTCTATAGGCCCCCAGACACAGAGTATTAATTAACATCATTGTCATTTAGTCTTCTCATTCCGTATCTTTCTCTTTCAGATGAAAGATGACAAACTGAAGCTTTCCCTCTCCATGAAGGTTGTTAACCAAGGCACGGGAAAAGATCTCGATCCAAACAATGTTTCCCTTGAGTAGGTAAAGCTACTGAGCAGAATAGATCAGACAGGCTGCTGCTGCTGCCTGCGTTTCTGCCATACTTATTCTCCGGGTCCTTCCCCTTTCAGAGGGTGAGGGGGCTCAGGAAGAGCCCCACCGCCCCACGCTGACTGGTGGGTGGACTGAAGGAGGCAGGAGCTGGTGGAGGCTGCAGGGAGTTCCAGTCCTTCCATGGGGCAGGATTTTCATTCCTGTGTTGTGCTTGTTCTGGAAGGACTGTTCGTTGCAGCTGGGCATTTGTCTCCCTCTCACGTACTACGAAATCAAATCGTAACTGCTCGGATGTTTCAGAGCTTCCTTGTCTACCTTTCTTTTGTGACATCTCTTGCAGGTCAAATAAAATTGCTTCATTTTCATACCACACAAGTATTTACGTGTGCGTGTATTCACATAATTAGTACAGGGATATTAGTATAAAGGATGTGACTGCAGCTCCCCACATTTTTCTGCTTTGTGTAGAGTGTGCTCAGTTACTCTCAAAAATAGATGATGACGGGTAATCAGTTGTTAACAGTATGGTTTATTCTAATGAGCAGTTGGTCAACTCTGTTCTTTGGTTTAGCTAAGCAGTACTTTTAGAGCAAGAGTTTAAAAAACCTTGTGTTTAGATCACGTCCATATAAATATACAGGGTTAAAGGTGAGAGTGGATTGAAAATGGCACTGTCCTCCTCTTTCCAGTCAGGATGAGAGGAAAAAACGCACGTTCAGAGACTTTACTAGTCAGAAGATCACGCTTGAAGCTGTCTTGAACACCGTGTGCAAGAAATGCGGTTGCAAAGGTATGTTCATGCAGGGTTATCTTGTTTTGATGTCGCCTTGTTCTGATCAGGTAGTGACCTGTAGATAGGATTGTATTGACGTCTGTCTCACGGTTGTCTATAAGGACTGAATTTTTCTTCCATGCATCTTAGAGCTGAAAACAAGCATTTTAAAACTTTATTTATTTTTTAACCTGGTGAAATTTTTGTCTTTCACCCAGCACAGCGATGGGAAGTTGGCATATGTGATGCCTTTTCAGTAGCTTGTGCAAGTTGCCGAGGCATAAAGTAGTTATTTGTACGCGGAGTTTTTGCAGCACCATACTTGTCTTACCTTATTTAGCCATAAATAGTCAAGCTGGAGTTAATGCTGTTCTAGAGAAGGTTAATAACGGATGTGATTCTCTGTAGTGGTAGATAACTATCTTTAAAATACCATTTTAAAAAAACCCTCAAAACTTTAAACTGGATTCTGCGTATTTTCAGGCTCCTTTTTAATGATGGTGTCTACTCAGGCAGGCAGATGCTATCTGTCTGCACTTTCCACTGCAACTGTTAAAAGTTCAACTTTGGCTCCAGTGTAGAAAGGGTAGAACTAGAATGAGGTGATTTCCTCTATATTTATGGGTTTGGGTGTCATTTACCAGCTGCTTGTCACACCAATTTACTCCCTTTCCTATATGCTTTTCCATGCTGTTTAAGACATGATTCTGCCAATTGCCCTGTTGAGACAAGAGTGTCCTGGTTTTTGCCTGACTAGTCTTTCCAAAATGACCCAGGTTGCGTTTGTTCCCCGGCTTGTTTAATCAGGGCATGTTAAATTAGCTGAAATGCTAGGACAAAAAATGTACAGTGTAGATTCACTTATTATGACTAATAATAAAAAGACCATTGGTGGCACTTCAGGCGTTGGAAATGCAGTTGTTTTTAAATAAAAAGGGGGTGAGTTGCTCCTTCAAGCACTGTTTTACAGGTCATTTTGCCAAGGAGTGTTTCGTGCAGCCTGGAGGTACCAAATACAGCCTCATCCCAGAAGAGGAGGAAGAGGAAGGGGCAGCAGCAGGATGTGAAAGAGAGAAAAAGAGCAGCCTGGCTGACGATTCTTCAAAAAAAAGGAAAAAGGTATGAGTTGCCCTGCTGCCAGCCTGGAAAATTTATTCTGCGTAGTTATGGCTGCGATTCACTACAGCAACGTGGTTGTGAGTAGCCAGTTCTGGGCTGAGAACGTGGCTCGGTTTTGTGCAGGTTCTGTAGCAAAACAGGAATCCCCTCTGCAGACTTCTTAATAATTCTTATACTTTCTCCCTTTATTCTTGTTAAACTGCCTTTGAGGTGGCTTTGTGCTATAATGCACAGTCCTCAAAAGATATTTCTTACAGAGAGAAAAGGATTATTATTTTTTTTCCTTGGTCTTTTTATGGCTCTGTAGAAATTGCTTCACTTTTGCAAATTTCTGTCATTCTTGCCAATAACCCTGTTTCCCCTCCCTTCTCACTTCTCTTGCCCTAACACCTTTCTCTAACCTGAACTAAATGCCCTGCTGCCTTGCTGCAGGGGATATCCTGACCCAGCCAGTGTGATCTGAACTAGGCTTATCTGCACGTGCCAGGGGAAAATCGCTGGTTGTATTTGCACAGGGAGCGTACTCCATTTCCAGGCTCTAAAGCTGGTTTTGTCGATGTGAAAATGTCAACAGATAAGAGACCTTTTATGTCCAGCTTCCAGCGTTTGAACTCTGGCTTCAGAGCATGCTGGTGTTAACGTAGGGGAGACCTGAATCCAAGCCAGGAGCTTTTGGTGGTCAGTCTGTTTATACAGGGAGGAGTATTCCAGTTCTGGATTTCAGTAATGAAACACTTTCATCAGCCCCTTCATAACTGGAGTCTGACTTTTAATTACACTTCCAAAGCCCCCCTTTTTTTTTGTTTGTTTTTTTTTTTTTTTTTTTTGTTTTTTCCTTTCTCTTTCCAGCTCTGTGCCCTGTCTGTATCCCTGAGAGAGGCAGCAGGCAGGCAGAAAAGATGATGGATTTCATTTTTACCGGAGAGGGACAAGTATGGTGTTAGCAATTGCATAGTGAGAACTAACTTCTGAGGGCTTGGTTCTCCCAGGCTCATGGAGGAGTTAAACCAGTACTGGTGCTAGTAGGAGAGACTGCAGCTGCTGGCAATAAGGAATGGAGAAGTCTGTTTTGATGGCAGCACTCAGACCGTTGCAGAGTGATGGACACTGGTAGCTGAAGTCTTGCTTCCAGTCACGTTTTTCACTGGTAATGTGGCTTCTGGCACTGTGGTACCCTCTGATTTGAGAGAGGAGTCATGGGATTGTAGCTGGTAACTGCACCAGAGAAGAGCCAGGTGTGTTGTGACATCCCTTGGGTCAGCCCCTGCCCTGTTGCATACCTGTTTCTGCCCTTCGGTCACTACAAAATGAAGTTAGTGTTAATTTGATGCCTAATAATTTGCAGTCTTGTTTGCTCAGTAGCACTCTGGATAGCTGATCCAGTAGTGGGAACAGGGTCTCCCTTGGCTGTAGATCCTGTGGCTGGTTCCATCCTGAGATGTGCTTTGCTTCCCCACTGCGTAGATTCTTACTCAAGAACATCTTGGACTTGTCTGCAGAGTGTCATTACGTTGCGGTAGAAAATACACATACCCTTCTTTCTGTTCTGATTTCGGAAGCGCGCGATTGAACCGCGTCGTCTCTCAGATCCCAGGCCAACTGCGCCTGACCTTGCACTCCAGACGTTGGGCCTCTCTCTTGCTGTGGCGCGATGTGAGAGCAGGCCATCGGTAATACCTCAGTAGGGCTGGCTTCTGCCGTGGGTTCTCTTCCCTCTAGCAGTGATGATGGTTGGGTAAAGGCTCGTGTAATTGTTTTTTAAATGCTGTGGGGAAAGTTACACAAAGAGGTGTGCTAATGGTTCGTTATCTTGTCAGTGCCCATCACCAGGGAGGGGAGTCCCTGAGGAGTCTTGCCCTGCTGGGACTATGGGATTTGTGGGTCAATATCCTGAATTTGTTACTAATATTTTTTTTTTTGGGGGGGGGGGGGGGGGGGGGGTGGGGGGGGGGTTGGATTAACAGCCTTCCTTTAAATCTTGCTTGTTCCTTTGATCTTCCTCCCTTCTCAAGGAGGAGATCAAAAGTTTTCAGATGTTTTCCAGTGCTGGAAAATAAAACTTTGAGCTTTTTGGAGGCAGGATGTGGGATCCTTAAAATGAATAGCTTCCTTGTTGTCTCGAGCACCTTCTGTGACCTTGTCTGGGAGCCACCATATGCTTCCCTGCTTGCCTGGAGCCCCTGGGGATTTACACAAAGTAGGAATAGCTCAGTCTACCTTGTAACAATGGCCTTACTGACCCCGTCCCATCCGATGTCTGTAACATAAACGTGGAGCTTATATTTTTAAAAGAGTAGATAAAGAACTGTTATGTACAAGGATCTGTTCAGTGTCCGAGCAATAGTATTAATGTATTCGGTTGTTCATGATCAATGTTTTGTTTCCTTGATCAGATGCTTCCTTCCAGTCCCTGGGTGCTCTTTCCTTACAGAGAAACTCTGGGGCCCTCACCCCCTTTTTTCTTGGCTTGGGTCGCCTCCCCAGTGGTTCCTCAGTTCCTCGCTTTTCTCCTGCCTAAGCCCCACAGCATTTGCAGGATTGAGACAGCTGGAGGCTTCAGGTCTCCGCACTGGCACAGGCTTCTGGTGTGACCGTGGGCACAAGTCTTTCTGGTACAGATCACCCTGTTAGTACTCTGCACGAGAGCGCTATCCTGCCTCCCGTAATCCCTGAGAAAATAAGGGAGTTGAGGGTGAAGCGGGGATGCTGCCGTCGCAGCGCTGTGCGGAAGTACCAGGGAGCATCCGAGGAGTTGCTGACAGCTGTGCCGGCACGTGGTTACCTCCCTTTCGCTTTTACTCTTCGGGTCGCAGGGTGAAGGAGCTCCTATGGGAACGCGGCAGCGTGCGTGGGAGGGAGGCGTGCTGAGAAGAAATGAACCCTTCTGATTCTTCTCTCCTGTCTGTCTTTCAAGAAAAGATCTGCTGTTCAACACTAGGAGTAATCCCTTTAATATGAATTCTACAAAAGCATCCCATTTTCTACTCGGATACATTAACTTACTTATCCCTGGGGTAGTTTTGTGATGGTCATTGGAATTGCATAGTAAATGTGACCGGTGATGGCTTTTCGGCAGACTTTGCTACTCTTTCTCCCACCGTGTAAATGATTTCCAGGCAATCCTCTTGCAGATGTTGTCCCTTCATGTAAAAAACACACCTTAATTGTTGTTTGTTCAGTGTTGTTCAGTTCATCAAGCCTTAGTATCCTCACTTGTAGCTGGTACTTGTTTTACTGGTTCTTAAATGACATTAGCTTAGGGCGCAGCTCATCACACACTGGCTGTTCTCTTACTGTCCTTATCTGGGCTTTTCTGAACTTTGCTGTATTTCTTTGATGACCATAGACTGGATTCTTCTCATCAGATTAATTCTGACTAGTCCTCAAACAAGGGATCCAATAATAGCTTTAGATTTACATAATGGATCTTGTTTGGAATTAACTTTGGCAGTGGAATTTCACTTTTTTTCTTTTTAAGAATTAAAAAACCCTAGAAGCCACCTCTCTGGAGAATGAGAAAGACATATATCTGGAAATCCATTCTAATTTTTCGCAAGGACAGCCATAAAATCTCCGAATGAGACAATAACTCCACAAAAGGGTCTGACAAAAAATATTTAAACTTCTTGGAGAATTCTGGACACTCCCTTCTTATCTCAAAATCAAATACCTTTAGAAGGAATGAACTGTTCTGACATTCTTGAAGCATAGCCCCGAGCAATTTTCCTTACAAAGGACAGGAGGGAGCCTAGTGTGGTAATGGGGTCCCCTCTTAGTGCCAGCCTTTTAAAAATAACTGGAGCAGTAGAAGAACCAGCACTTTCAGGCTGTAGCCCAGCCTATTGCTCTTCTGCAGGCCAGCTCCCAACACGGGTTTTGTAGAGGGCAGATTTTGAAGCATGTTTGTTCTGTTTTGGTAGAATTGTAATCGTTACGTAAATTGGACAGGATGTGCAAGGAACCGTAACACGCAGGTCCTTCATACTTGTTGGCCCTCGGCATCTTTGCACTGGGAACCTGTGTAGGCAAAATACACTCAAAATATTTACACAAATGCAGGATTTGCAGTTCTGGGGGAGTGCCTGGGCGTGCCTGAGAGCTGAGTTGAGCTTCATCCATCAGCAGCCATCGGTTCTGGAGACCAGTTGGAAGCTCTGGGTGCGGCAGGGCTTTGCTGCTCTTGCTGGAGGTGGAAATCCGAGCTTTGCTTTGGCACTGCCCTCTCCCATCCCTAAACTAGAGAAATGCTCCTGCTTGTGCAGCTGTGAGTTGACTGGTCACCGGCGGAGTGCTTGTCCCCTAGTACCAGGATGGTGGAGTAAATCTGTGATCAAACAGAAGATGCTGCTTGTGCAGAATGATTTCACAGCAGCACTACCTCCTGTTACAGAAAATGTTAAGCTCTTCCGTTGCTGGCTTGCTCCCAGTGTGGTGCTTGCAGTGCTGCACTGGAAGTGCTTTTTATGTGTTGGCGTGAGCAGTTTGGCTGTTAGAAGCCCCCGAAAAGAGGAGACTGAGGTTTGGTTAAGTTTTTGTTGGGGTTTTTTTTTTTTCAGCCAGCACAATGTCCACGTGTGTACTTTTATTTCCCCTGTAATCCTGAAGGGACAGCGTGACATCCTGTCCTGTCTTCAGCTTTCACATGCTGAGAAAGTTTCCCAAGCTCTGGAATGAAACTCTGTTAGTTGTTAAGGTCTTGTCAAACTTTCTCACCATGTGCACAGGCTGGAAAAGCTTGAGAAAATTCTCCTTGCTGCATCCCTTTCTGTAGAAGATTTAACTCTTTACCCTCCTCTTCTTCTAAAGACTGTTACGATTTGCCTCTGTTCTTAGTCTGTGGGTCGGGAGCTTTGAAGTGAGTCTGGTATTGTCCCACAGAAAAATGTAGATGCTCGAATTTTGGGTGACATCATAGTGCTGTTGTGGAGCTACAAAAATGAATACGTGCCAAGGCTCCGCTAGGTGTGGAGTGAACTCAATCCTCTGCTCTCTTCCCTGAGTCCTGGAGGACTCTTTGCTTGATGTTCAGCTCCAAGTCACGCGTTGTCTTTGCTCTTCCACCTCCCCAAAAGAGTTGTCCTATTTCACATTAAATAAGCTACTAGCTCCCTTCCCGTGTTGTCCCTAATTGATAGCCTGTACCTGGTGCTACGACGCATAATCTATGCTAAATTGATGTCTTTAGCTGGGTCTTTTGTGTCCCTGCTCTTATGGGAGAATACGTTGGTTTTAAATGAAATGTAGATGGACTCAGCTTGTCTTCCCGTAAGCCAGTATATTAATCGTCATATGGAAACTGCACTTGTCTGGAAGTGGTTGAAGCTAATGGAAGGAATGGCTCATGGGGAGGAGGGGGAAGCCAGCCTTCTCTGTGCTTTCCACGTTGGGTCACTACTTTTCCCCCAAGCAATTTTAAGACAATTTGCGCTTCAGAGGAAGATTGTGCGGTGGTACCAGAGGGCTACTAGCAACCCTGTGCCCTCTGTGCTGTTAGCGCATTCCTAAATACAGCACGGGCTTGGCTTTAACGTGCTCCCTGCCTCATTATTTTTATTCCCCCTTCTCTGCCTCATTCTTCTTGCTGTCCTCAGCAGCTGCTTCTGGCTTTTGTTTCGAACAGATGAATGCTGGTTTCTTAGCTTGGAGTCTTCTGGGTGAATATGCACATGCTGCCATGACTCGGGCTTCTTTCTGTGAAGCCAGTTTTCTTTACGTGGATGCCTTGCAATCCATTTCCAGCCAGGGTTCTTCTCTTTCCCCTGGGTGGGGTGGATGTGTAACAGGCCTGAGGCAGCACCTGTGGCTGCCCGAGGGAGGAGGCAGTATCTCATGCCAGACCCACAAAACTGGTATCAGGGCTGGGTTCAGACCTGTAGCTCCCCTGGCCAGCCGTGTGCCTGTTGAGCTGGAGCAAGTGGAAATACTTGCCAACACTAACCGTTCTGATTTTGTACAGGTATCTTGTGTATCCGTGGCTGATTGCTGCTGTTCCCTTCATCTAATGATGCGTTCGTTGTCTCTCCCTTGGCTTAGCTTCTAGGGTGGCCGTGGGTGTCCGCAGCAGCTGGCCGAGGAGGGCGGCCTCCCCGAGGACTCATCCTGCCTGCGGTCCTGGGACTGGTACAACCATGCCCTTGGGCTTGCTCCTTTCTGCTTCCTCCTGAGATGAATGCGTGGCACTGAGCCCTCCCAAGGCAGGGGTGACTTGCTGTAAACCTCTCCCAGTAAATATGCAAGCCCAAGGGTGGCCTTGAGGTCGTTTGGAATGCTCTTGGCAAAAGAAATAAGTAGAGCTGTTGGCTTGGGGGCTTCAGGCTTCTCCCATTACGTTCCCTTCCATAGTGGAATGTAAAACACGATTATGTGTTATGTTTGGGACTGTCATTTGACCGCTGTCCGTCTCCCATTGTGCTGCTCCCCAAAGCCTTTGCACAGCTGAGCTCTGAACAAGCCATCATTCAACCTCTTTAAATTAGAAATGAGTGGGGACGGGGGGAAACAGGGCTTTTTGTCTGGCTTACCAAGAGTCCTTTTCCTGGTCTGGTGGGGCCTTGAAGTGACTGCCCTGGGCTTCTCCCACCCGCTGGCGCAGGCTCTTGGAGAGCTCGGCCCTCCAGAGGTGGTGGCAGGGGGAGGCAGTGCCATGGCCATGGCTCCTTGCTCACGCTCTGCTTCGAGAGCTCACCTTGACCCCCAGCTGCAATGCTGCTGCGTCATCCCGACCGCGGGGCTTGCTTTTACAAACCCAGGATGACGCCAGTCTAAAGGAGATGCGTCCAGTAAAGTATGCGTAGGGGGAGAGGAGCTGGGCTATGGCTGGGGATAAAAAAACCCTCATCTAGTGCAGCCAGCAGTAGCACACGTATCACTGGTACCTGGTTGCGTAGTTAAATTATGGAGGAGAATAGGATGCTGGTTTGCAGCAAATCTGGAGAAGATTGTGCTCAGTCTTACAGGTGCAGCAGTTCCAGAGCAGCGAGCACACGTGGATCCTCTGGGAAGGTGTAGCTCGCTTTGAGCACAAATGCTTGAAAAACAGCTCAGCCAAAGCAGGAGGCTTTGCTCACTGGGTTGCATTCCTCGCTGGCGGTGTCCGTCACAGGCAATCGCATGGGCTTGGGTTGCCTTGCTGGCCCATCTCCGCTCCATGAAACCCTCTCTTGCTTCTTATGTCCTCTTTTTGTCCTTGAATAGAACGGAAATTCATGATAGCCATTTGCACAGGAAGGTCTCTCTCTGATGTCGGTGTGGCCATGGAAGAAATCGGTGGATCCTTGTTGGAGGCCAGTGTTGCTGGGCTTGGATGGAAGGCTGAAGCTTTATATTAAGCATATGTGAAATACTAAAATCATTTTTAGGGGCCCTTTCATCTGCCTGCTGCTTTCCTTTACTTCCCAGAACCAAGGGATGTTGAAGAAAATACCTCATTTTTTGCAGGACAATCATTTCTTTTCCAAAGCATCTTCCTACAAAATATACCTGAAAAAAAATCTTCCATCTTGTTCAGATGGTTAGTCTACATGATAATTTTGTGGGTATTCAGGGAATGAGAAAGGTGAGTTGAGCTGGGATCGGATTTGGATCTTGGCTTATTCGTGCACAAAAGCCGACCACGCCGGCTGATGCCTTCTGAGCCACTTACGTTTCCGGCACCACTCGGGTTGATGCTGGTTGCCCAACTGCCTCCAACGCTGGCCCGCTCCGGCTGGAGCGCGGTGGCTTACAGAGCTGTAAGGCTGCCCCAGCACTCGGAGGGCACGGCCGGTTCCTGAGAGCTGCGGTCAGCGTTTCTCCTCCTCCTCCTCCTTGCTGGAAGAGGCGTGAAGCAACTGGCAGAGCGATGCCAGCGCAGGCAGGTCAGCCCCTCTCCTCCCATACTGCTTTCTAATTAAATACATACAAATTGCTAAACTGCCTCATGAAATTGTCTTTGCTTTGGGACGCTCTGCCCGATGCGATGCCAGGGGAAGCTGTACCGTGATACTGATCTCCGAGTAATCTCTGCTTGGTAGTGCCTGTCTCACAATTGAGGGTTTGTTTCCTGGTCAGAGTTCCTTACAAGCTTTATTCCAGCACCGGCTGTTCCTACGCTGCGTGTAAACGTCAGGTCTTGAGCTCGGCATAGCTGTTGCTTCAGGGCATTGTGGAATCGCGGCCCGGGGGGGGGCTCCGTGCTGCCCCTGCGTGCATGGGGAGAGGGTGGGAAGCTGTGAGAGCGGGGGGGTGTGCAAGTCTGCGTGGACGTTGTGCAAAGAGGGCACGTTGCTCGTCCCGGCTGCCCTCCAGGGACGGCTGCACGAAACTCTGGCTGGCGTTGCTCGGGCTTTCCTGCGAGCAGAAGGGCGTGTTGTCATTAGCGCTCCAGCCGTCAGCGCTGGTTTGCTGGCAGTCTGTGGGCTGATGATGTTGTGGGGACGTGGGGATGGTGCTCATGACCAGCTGGCTATTTTAGAAACCCGTTTCGTTGGCAAAAAGGCTTCATCCTGCCAACCTCTATTAATAAAGAGTAGCCTTAAATAATGGAGTAGGCTCTGACCGTGGAGGGACGGCAAGAACTCTCTTCTTGTGATCTGATCAACAGTTTTCAGGCTTGGATTTACATTTTGATCCCCCCCAGCTCTGACAGCTGTCCTACCCTGTGGACCGACAGCAGTGGTTCAATCCTGACTCACTGGGGTGGAAGCTGAGTGCACTTTCCGTGTCGGAACAGGCTCGCCCCCCGTCACAGCTTGTAACACACTCATTACAGAAAGTGTCTCGCTGCCCTGGTGAGCACAAGTGACAGTTTTCTCACATGCAAGGTTTTTTAATTTATTTTCCTTCTTTTGCTAGGAGAAGAAGAAGAAGAAGAAGCACAAGAATAAGCAGTCCTCCGAGTCAGACTCGGACAGCTCGGACTCAGACAGCGAAGGGGCTCAGCCAGCCAGCAAGAGGACCAAGCATTCGGGGAAGCCCAGCAAGGCTCAGAAGAAGAAGAAGAAAAAGAAGCATAAGAAGCAGCCCCGGGATTGAACGGGCAGGCAGGGGTACCGGCATGGCGAGTCCCTGAGGAGCGAGCAGAATCGAATCAGCGTGCCCCTTGCTCTAGGGACGAGAGTTTCCTTCTCCTCAGAGTACTGCTCGGCACGTGGTGGTACGGGTGGTGACTTTGATACAAGTTGTTCCCTGTTACCTCAGACACGGGCTGCCGTTTTCTCCCCCCAGCAGGCACTCCTGCCAAAACTGCCTAATTACACCCGGGGTCGGCACCTCTCCCATCCTCTCGCCTCACGTTTCGCTGGGTAAGCTGCCAGCGCTCGCAGCTCCCCTGGACGGTGCGGTGCGGCCAGCTGCGCCGAGCCTGCATCGCATCAGCCGCCATCCAGTTGCCTGTAAAAGGTGGAGCTGCGCAGTCGTGCTCTCCCTGCCCGTCCCCGTGCCACGCTCGGGGCCAGGGTTGTTGTTTCTGGGCCCTGCGGTGGGGTTACATCCTCCCCACCAGTAACGGTGCGGAACCGCTTGGCTTTGGTCTGTAATCCCTCCCCCAGCCTCGCTCGTTTTGTCTGCAAACATTGGGAGTGGAAGAATAAGAAGCAAATGGGGGAGCGGAGATATTTTAAGTAAATATTAACTGTGGTGTGTTTGCCGCCTTGGTAAGTGATGAAAAATAAATCTCTCCAATCTCCAGTTGTACTTTGTACCACGTCTTTTGTTTTATACGCTCCACACTTCATCTTGGGCAATGAAAAAATAGGGCCGGCTGAGTGGGAGGGGGCGCGAGCTGC